ACTTTTTTATTTGTTTGGTTTTATATGTGACTGTGATATCCACACATCTCTTTTTACAGATTGATTCATTGAATAAAAGATAGGGGTGTGATTGTGATATCCGCACACCCTTTTTTACTTCTTACACACCATTCTAATTTTCGGCCGTCGGATCGGATGAATTAAAGAAGATCAAATGATAGAAATTAACATGAGGTGTGTGAGAAGTAAAAAGGGGTGTGTGGATTGCACACCCCAAAAGATAAACCATTTTTCTCCATTCCACCTTGTTGATGCACAAAATCGGAATCGCCACCCTCAATTCCTCAACATCTTCTATAATGACACCTTTTTTTTAATATGGCACTCTCATCTAGATTCATCAAAAACTTATGTTTCAAGGCAGCTTGCTTCGGACTTAGATGTTCTAGGTACATTTCTATTTCCCTAACCCCTGGAACATACGTGCACATTTCAGCCACATCTTGGTCCTGTTCAATAAGCCTTAATCCATCCCAATAAAACATCCCAGGAATCCTATAGTGATACAACATAAACCCATGATATCCTAACTCCTTAACCATTTCATCAATCTAGAAAAAAAGACATGAAGTCTTTGTCTACGTAATCAAACCAAGCCTCAAACATTCCCGTATATGCACTTTCAGACCACTTCCTAGTGTGGTTAATTTTAAGGCTAAATAATTCGGGCATGCCTGCACTGCAAAGTTAGGGAGAAAGACAACATAAAATCCTAGAGGCACAAGGGGAAAAAGGTGAAAACAAAACCATGGGAACCATGAATACAGTTCCACCTTTTTTCCTGAAACCATAGAAAAAAAAAGGTGAAAACAAAGCCATGGGGACCACGATTGAAGACAACACCACATGCACAACCCACTACAAAACACAATTCCAGAAACCATAGAAAAAAAATGGGATGGGAACTCACAAATCCCTAATCCCTAAAATTCAAAATTGAAAAATCGAAAAACCTAAACCCATATTATCTACACTTCGAAAAAGGTAGGTTACTTACAATAAAATGGTGTTTCACCCACTTAGATCCTCCCTTTTTTCCACCTTATCGCCAGCGATGGCTTCACGACAATCTTTCCCAAAAACGTGTGTGCAACGTATGACGGCGTGCGAAGTGGAGCGACATCCAGGTGGAACAACGACGTGCAAGGTGGAGCGACGGCGAGGTCAAGCGACGGCAAGGTCGAGTGATGGCATGTTGGTAGGGTTTCGGACGGAGATGGGGGGGTCGCAAATATTGAATTTTGAATATTTTTTTTTTACTGAAACCCCTTCTCTAAAAAAAATCCACGTGGCGCCCAGTCATTGGCCATGTGGGCGTCACGTCACAGTTAACGAAAGACTTAACAATTTGACTAACAGATATATGAGACTGTCCCAAAATTTTACACTTTAAGTACGACTCTGGGACGAAAAAAACTTAATGTACTAAATGTTGAAAACAACGAAACATAATGTTAGTAAACAGGTATTTACTCAAAATAAAAAAAAGCTAGCTACCATGGCTGTATTGAAAATGTTGTCAAAGAAAGCAAGTTCCGACTCTCATGGCCAAGACTCATCCTACTTCCAAGGGTGGATAGAATACGAAAAGAATCCTTATGACCAAGATAAAAATCCAAATGGCATCATTCAGATGGGACTTGCAGAGAATCAGGTGACAGATATATACCTAGTTTAGTTGTAATATTATATGATTATCTATATTATCTATATTATTAAAAGAAGAGGGCTTGTCAACTTTTTACCCTATTTTCTTTTAATTTTGCCCTCACTTGTTGACATCAGGAGGGCAAAATAGTAATTTTGTATGTTTTAAACTTTTTCCCATTTTTTCCTATTTTGCCCTCACTTTTGATACACAATATTTACATAAGGAGGGCAAAATAGTAAGTTTATATCGAAATATTTACATAAGCTAACAAATATGCACTTAGTAAGAGAAATTGTCTCACCATTATTTTTTCATACACATAAGTGAAATCATGATGTTGTTTAGATAATTTGAATTAACTGAAGCGGTTGCGTTTGAGGAGAACGTAGAAGGAGGTGAGCGGTTTTTCCCTTTTTTTCCTATTTTGCCCTCACTTTTGATACACACTATTGACAAAAAGGAGTGCCAAATAGGAAAAAAAAAGGGAAAAGTTGACAATGAGGCTTCTCTTAATAATAGTTTTAAAAAATGCACTTATTAATAGAAATTATTCACACATACACACAAAATATGTGCCCTCTGCTAGTTAATTAGCAATAATAAGGATTTTTTTAAACAATAATAATGCAATTAATCATATGTATATACATTTTTAATTAATTTTTTAAATTGTTTTTGGCAGCTCTCCTTTGACCTTGTTGAGTCATGGCTTGAAAGCAATCCACATGCACTGGAGCTGAAAAGAAATGAAGAATCCGTTTTCAGAGAGTTGGCTCTCTTTCAAGACTACAACGGCTTCCCTGCTTTCAAGAATGTAATTACTTCTAATTTTATTTTCTAAATGTATAACATATTTTTCTAGTAAATAAATTTATTTGTACAATTTTGATCTGGATGAACATATACTTAGGCGTGTGTGTTCTGTGCATGCAAGTACGTATATATATATTGTAGACTAACATTCACTTATATATACAGGCGTTGGTTGAGTTCTTGGCGGAAATGAGAGGAAACAAAGTAAAATTTGATCCGAACAAGATTGTGCTCACCGCGGGTTCAACTCCTGCCAATGAGACCTTTATGTTTTGCCTTGCCGATCCTGGTGAAGCCTTCCTCATCCCCACTCCATACTACCCAGGGTATTGATCATATCTGTGTGCCTGACATTGTATTTATGCCAAAACATGTTTTTCGATCACAACTACTTTTGGGCAGGTTTGATAGAGATCTCAACTGGCGTACCGGAGTTGAAATCGTTCCAATACATTGCACAAGTGCAAGTGGATTCAGAATCACTGAATCTGCATTGGAGGAGGCCTACCAACGTGCCCATAAAAAGTTAAAGGAGCATTGTTCACAAATCCTTCAAACCCCTTAGGCACAACAGTGAATCGACTTGAGCTCAACCACATCATCGATTTCACCATTGCAAAAGAAATACACATAGTAAGCGATGAAATATACTCGGGAACAGCTTTCAACTACCCCAGTTTCCTAAGCATCGCAGAAGCTCTAACTGAAAGAAACCTAGAAGAGGCCGAAATATGGAATGGATGTCACATTGTGTACAGCCTCTCTAAGGATTTTGGCTTACCGGGTTTCCGAGTAGGCATGCTTTACTCCAACAACCTAACAGTTGTGTCCGCAGCCACGAAGATGCCAAGCTGTGGACTTATCTCCTCACAAACTCAATACATGCTTTCCGAGATGCTGAAAGACAAGAAATTCAGAACCAATTACATGGAGGGGAATCAAAAGAGGCTTAAAGAGAGAAAGGAGATGCTTGTCTGTGGGCTCAAAGGGGCAGGGATTAGGTGTTTGGAAAGCAATGCTGGGTTATTTTGCTGGGTGGACATGAGGCACCTGAGGTCCAACACTTTTGAAGCTGAAAAGGAGCTTTTTTTTAGAGTGGTTTGTGAATTCGGGTTGAATATCTCTCCCGGGGCTTCATGTCATTGCTCTGAACCCGGTTGGTTTAGAGCGTGCTTCGCAAACATGTCTGAAGAAACACTGACGGTCGCAATGCAACGAGTCCATTCCCTTGTGGACTCCAGTACCATTGTTCATAAGCAGTTAGTAATGACTAAACCCAGGTGCTTAAAGAACAAGTGGAGGCTTCATACGATGGTAAGAGATTAAGGACCTAAAAGAAATGCAGTTGCTAACAACTGGGGTTGCTCTCCTATCCAGCCATTTGACATGAACACTGCCGGTGTGCCTCGACTTACAGGTTTGTTTCATCTTCTTGATGTGTAGTATTTTTTTTCCCTAACCTGTCGCTTTTGTTGTTTTGAAGATTGTTTTTGTACGTTCACATATATCTTTTTAGGTCTAGTTAGGGGTCCAAGTTTTATGTCCCCCTCTCTTTTTTACTTGTGTATTTCTTTTTCTCTCTCTTTGTTCTGAATTCATTTTCATAAGGATTCGACGTGATCATGGAGTGCTGGCTGTCGACTACCTGACGCCCTCCCCCTCCTCCTTTATCCGGGACGGCAATAAGGCCGGCGATGCTGTATGGCACAGAATGTTGGGCGGCGAAGCATCAACACGTACACAAAATGGGTGTAGCGGAGATGAGGATGCTTCGTTGGATGTGTGGGCACACGAGAAAGGATAAGATTAGGAATGAGGATATCCGGGGTAAAGTAAGAGTAGCCGAAATTGAAGGAAAGATGAGAGAAAATCGGTTACGGTGGTTTGGACATGTGCAAAGAAGGCCTACTGACGCTCCGATTAGAAGATGCGACTATGGGACAGAGGTTCAGGGCCGAAGGGGTAGAGGAAGACCTAGGAAAACTTTGGAAGAGACTCTAAGAAAAGACTTAGAGTACTTGGATCTAACGAAGGACATGACACAGGACCGAGCACAATGGCGTTCTAAGATTCATATAGCCGATCCCACTCAGTGACTTGGATTTTCCAAGTCTCCAACCGAGAAGTTTTCCTCACTCAGGAAATTAAATGAACACTACCTCAACCTACATGCTCCACTCACAAAGCTTCAACAAAAGAAAATTCAAATAACTTAGCGAAGAAGGCTTTGGTGTATTTAACACAATACATTGAAATGAAGGAAAGCTTATTTATTGATATCCCCGATAAGCTACAAATATGTACATATACATAAGTCAAAATAAACAAACAAGAGGGAGCCTTCACAAAGGTTGCTTAGGAGAAGTCTCAGCAGTCGGTAGAGCCCCAGAAAGAGAAGGCACCGGAGGGGGATCATTCGGAGCCTCAGTACTGGACAGAACCCTAGAAGAAGGAGGCATCAGAGGTTGATCATTTGGAGCTTCATTACGCGGTACAGCCCCAGAAGACGAAGGCAATAAATGCCTTTGGAATAAACCCACAAATCTCTGATGATCAAGTAAAACCTGACCATCAGATTCCTTCATCTGGTCAAGCTTCCTCTTCATGTTTGTAGCATAGTCATGTGCGAGCCGGTGCAACTGTTTATTCTCATGCTTGAGCCCTCTAATCTCCTGTTTGAGACTCATCACTTCAGCCGCCAATGATTCAACTTGGCGGGTTCGAGCAAATAGACGTTGGGCCATATTAGACACAGAACCTGCACACTGAACACTGAGAGCCAGAGAATCCTTAACAGCTAACTCATCAGACCGTTTGGAAAGTAATCTGTTATCTTTGGGAGTGAGAAGGTTCCTGGCCACCACCGCAGCGGTCATATCATTCTTCATCACGGAATCCTCAATGGTAAGAGGATCAGTAGGGGAGACGAAGGATGGACGCCATATGTTGTCAGGAGAAGGCGGGGCTGCCTCTTCAACAAGGTTCAAGTCAAAACGACGGTCGGAGGGGCCAGACATTTTCAAAGGTGTTGAAGAGAGAAGAGGTCGGACAAATCAAGATCTTAGAAGTGCAAGAATGAAGCTTATACTGGTGGAGATTCAAGTGTGCTTTGGAACTTAATGCCAGCCTCTATAAAAATCTGCACTCGACGGAGCTTCAGAAATCGAAGAGGCGCCTGCTCAAAAATCGAAGAGGCGTTTGCTTTCTCAAAAGCAAGGCTGCTCAGATACCACGAGGGTCGATCTCAGAAATCGAAGAGGCGTTTGCTTTCTCAAAAGCTGGGTTACGCAAAGACCACGAAGGCCGATCTCAGAAATCGAAGAGGCGCTTGCTTTCTCAAAAGCTGGGCTGCTCAGAGACCACGAGGGCCGATCTCAGAAATCGAAGAGGCACCTACTTTTCCAGCCTTGTCAGCACCTGTCACACGCACACTCAGCTTTGCGGAAATTATGGGCATTCGGTCGAAGACTTCTGGTGAAGTAGAAAGCACATGAGTCGTACTGTTCAATCACCCATTTCCCACACGCAACAGTAGCTTATAGGTACCACAGATAACTTTGCCAAAGTTCTCTGCCAAAGTTGAACACGTGAAGCTTGCAGCTCCCACTACATCGCTCTGACCAAGAAGGGTAAAAGAATAGCAAAGAAACAACACTAACAAAGTTTAGACACATAAATTTTGAAGGTCTAGCTACAATATTATTACCCACAAGGGTAAAGCAACAGTACCACTGCTGGATAATTGGAAAGTCCCTGTGTGTCAACCTCTGTGCTTCGTGGCAAGGTAGACTAGCAAACATGCCCAACCTTTAATCACATTCGAGAAAACACTCCCAACAAGATTGCTTGCTCCAAAATCGAAGAGGCACCGTCCTCCGAATCTCGAGAGCCAGACTCCCAACATGACTACTTTCTCAAAAATCGAAGAGGGTAAAGGAACAGTACCATTGCTGGATAATTGGAAAGTCCCTGTGTGTCAACCTCTGTGCTTCGTGGCAAGGTAGACTAGCAAACATGCCCAACCTTTACTCACATTCGAGAAAACACTCCCAACAAGATTGCTTGCTCCAAAATCGAAGAGGCACCGCCCTCCGAATCTCGAGAGCCAGACTCCCAACATGATTACTTTCTCAAAAATCGAAGAGACACCGCTCTCCGAATCTCGAGAGCCAGACCCCCAGCATGATTGCTTTCTCAAAAATTGAAGAGGCATCGTTCTCCGAATCTCGAGAGCCAGATCCCCGATAGGATTGCTTGTTCGAAAACCGAAGAGGCAACACTTTCCCAACTTCAAGAGCTGGATCTCCTTGGATAAAGCTGTCTGTAATCTTCACACGCAACATCAGCTTTCCAGATACCACAAACCACTTTTTCAAAGTGCTCTGACAGCGTTAAAACATGTGAAGCTGGCAGCTCCCACTACCGTGCTATGACCAAGTAGGGTAAAGGAATAACATTACTACTTGTTGTTAATGAGACTCCTATATATGTTGACCTCCATCCCCAACGGACAGGCAGACCTGCAAAAATGCTCAACCCTTCCTCATATCTGAGATGGCACTCCCAACGAAGCCTTTCGAAATATTCAGCTTTCTTTCCCCCCGATAATACCTCTGCAAACAAGCTATACTAGAGCAAGAATATCTCATATCATCAGGGTTAAAAGCAAGAGTATCCCATATCATGCTTTTTCCCTGTCTTTTCTTTTGACTTTGTTCTTACCTGCAAGACAAGGAGAAAGAGAGCAATCAGTCAGTACTTGGAATCAAGCTTCCAGCCAGGAACTGACTGCCTGGAACCCCTTACCTGATTACTTACCTGACATTGCTCTCGAGTACTCATCTTCAACATTTTATGCTTCCAGGGAAGATACCACATCTGCCTGAGGAACAAATAGGGCAAGGGAGAAAGATACAAGGAAGCATGTGGAGACAAGTGTAACAGCACACGTGCCGATACATCCATTACTCTGTCAAAGCAAAAGTATCCCATATCAGCAGGGTCGAACGTACTCTAGATTTGATGGACTTGTTTTGACCCTCAAATTCTTCAGTCGGCCTTATACTCTGGAGGAAACCAGAAAACCCTCCAGCTCAGTTCAAGAATAAGCCTTTGGAAAGTTACTTCTTCAAAAGCAAAAGTATCTCATATCATCTCTTCTCATTTTCTTCTCTTTATCCTTCATGCTGCCTGCAAGATAGGGAGACTGTGAACAATCAGCCGGAGCTATGATTGCTTACCTTGTCTGTCACCTCTTTCAGCAGATCCCCTAGCTCGGCGACTTGGGGGACTCCTACTACATGGTTTGTATCGCGCTTGACCAAGCCTGAAACTACAAATAAGCTTCAAGTGAAATTGATACATTACCTTGTGCATCTCCACCAGTTAAAGATACCACCCCTGGATGGAGGAAGAGTACTTCCAGAGAAGATGCCCCATCTACCTATGAGACAAATAAGGCATGTCAAGACGATACCACACTCCGATACTTAGAAGTTTCGTGATTACGAGATCATTCTCCCACAATATTTTCTAATGTCATTTGTACTAAATCATTCACTTGTACTCACTAAAGGAGAGCTTGAACCTATGTACTTGTGTAAACCCTTCACAATTAATGAGAACTCCTCTATTCCGTGGACGTAGCCAATCTGGGTGAACCACGTACATCTTGTGTTTGCTTTCCTATCTCTATCTATTTATATACTTATCCATACTAATGACCGGAGCAATCTAGCGAAGATCACAAAAAGCGACCGTTTTCGCTACCTAAGATTTATCGTGCAAGAGAACGGAGAATTAGATGGAGATCTCAACCATAGAATACAAGCTGGATGGTTGAAGTGTAAGAGTGCATCCGGCGTGTTGTGTGACCGTCATAGGTCACTGAAGCTCAAGGGAAAATTTTATAGGACGGCAATAAGGCCAGCGATGTTGTATGGCACAGAATGTTAGGCGGTGAAGCATCAACACGTACAAAAAATGGGTGTGGCAGAGATGAGGATGCTTCGTGGGATGTGTGGGCACACGAGAAAGGATAAGATTAGGAATGAGGATATCCGAGGTAAAGTAGGAGTAGCCGAAATTGAAGGAAATATGGAGAAAATCGGTTCCGGTGATTTGGACATGTGCAAAGAAGGCCTACTGACGCTCCGGTTCGAAGATGTCACTACTGGACAGAGGTTCAGGGCCGAAGGGGTAGAGGAAGACCTAGGAAAACTTTGGAAGAGACTCTAAGAAAAGACTTAGAGTACTTGGATCTAACAGAGGACATGACACAAAACCGAGCGCAATGGCGTTCTAGGATTCATATAGCCGACCCCACTTAGTGGGAAAAGGCTTTGTTGTTGTTGTTGTTGTATTTCTTTTTCTCTCTCTTTCTTTCTAGAGGTCAAGTATATACCCCTACCCAAGGACGGAGCTAGAATTTTTTTTGATTGGGGGCGTCTTAAAACAACCAAGTAAAATAATGGGTTTTAGGTTATTGAGGACCAGATACAGTAAAAAAACTCTAAATTAGAAACTTAAAATTGTAATGCCACAAACAAATGAATGAAGTAAATTCATATAAAATACTTTGGAGTAAAATTTTTGTATTAAATTATGATACTTCATCAGTTGAATCCAATGTATTTATGAAACCCCCAATTCAATTGAGTTTGATTTAGGTAAGAAAACGTGGAATATTTGGAACCAAAATCAAAATTTTAATTGTTGTTTTAATTGTCATGACATTTTTGCTTTCCTCACCCAAAAATCTGAGTGGGGACGGATGCCCTCCCTGGGCCTTATGTAGCTCCGTCCATGCCCCCACCCTCTATTTTTTTTTTTTTTTGTTTATCACTGATGGGTAAGTTTTATGTCCTCCCCCGGATAGGTATAACATCTTTTTTCAAACTAATAAAATATCCCTCGTACCGTCGAGGTTTCTTTAATAAAAGAAAGATTAAGGTTGGTACTTTAAGATAGTTTTATGTTTCATCACTAGTATTGTAATCAAATTACTGTATTTATTCATTATATTTTTGTGTAGTACTTTTGATTCGTATAGAATGGTAGTCCGCAAGACGTTATTGTAACATCAGTAAGTAATCTCATGTATATACACGTGTGCGTGTTATTATGAAAATGTTGCTCTCATGCAGAATATATAGTGTGTGATATAATACGTATAGAAAAATTCCTCTAAGACAAAGGGCTTCAAATGTCGCTCTCATTTTCTATACGTTTCTCCTGTAAAATAAACCCTCGCCGGCACCCACGAATACCTCGGCATAAAGCTTTCACAGAAAATCTCACCCAACGAGCTCTTTCAGTTTGCCCTTTCGAAGCAAAGGTGTAGAAGCTATTGGGCCCTGTATTCTGGGCTTACGGTGCTCCATTCTTAGGTTTGTTGTTAATGGATATCCACTAAGTATTTTCATTTTTTAATTTTGAACAATTTAAAGTCACTTATTGAATTACGACTATTCAATTAAAATTTAAATTAATTTTATGAAAATTATGAGTATCCAATCAAGATTAAAATAAGTTTATAAAAATTTACGCGTATTTGATTGCTAGTTAATGCAAAAAATTAAAAAGTACAAGATTTTGATGAATTTGAATAGCCTTATAATTTGCTGATGATATTCGGTGTATCCAGCATTATTCATTCGCAAATTTAATACTTAAACGTTATTTTTTATTTTCTCATGATGTAGGAAACTAATCGAGAAAATAATAATTAATACGAGGAAGGGAAAAAATATATATAATTTTCCGAAACAACCTATAGGAAAGGGATGGAAAAACATTCATCCCTAACCCTCAAACTGATTCGGGGGGCCATTCCCCCTACTCTGAGAGCCTCCGCGTGAACCGAACGGCGCCGTTTCACATCCACGTTTCGGTTTCTGAGAGGTCCCTAACCTCACATCCATTTTTATTTTTATTTTTTAACAAGTGACATAATCAACGCTAAAAAGAGGGTAACTCACAGTTAATTACATCAAAATAATTATTTAATTATTTAATAATTAAACGAAAAATGAAAATGTTCGAAGCAAAGTTTTTGAAAAAATGAAATAAAGGACGAAGAAATAATCAGATCTTCGCCCACAAAACGGCTTCGGATCGCTGTGTGCCCCTGTCTGAACCAAACGGCGTCGGATTTGCATCTCGCCTTCTGGTTATTCGGAGGGCAAAAGTAATAAAGCAAACAAAAACTTAAAGAATATTTGGGAAAAAAGATTTGAGAATGTGTGAGGCTGCTTGGAGGACAATCGATTGAGAAATCCAAAAGGCCTCGGTCACAAAACACTGAAATTAAATCAAATTAATATCTGCCTCCTAACTAAGCCAAAATACGAAATTGAAATTGATTCATACGGCTACTCAAAGAGGCAGTGAAATGGAACAAATAAGTAAATTTCAGCGCCGGAGATTGGGGGACGGCGGAGATGGAGGTGGTGGCGGCTGAGAAATGCGGGGGGATGGAAAATTCGAGAGGAGGTGTTGTAGGGTTTTGAGATTGTACAGGGGAGGCGCAATAATCTGGTGGTGCGAAGATCGTTATAAAGAAGTATGAAGCCAGTAGAAACGTGCCACGTAGAAATAAAATATTTGCTTGGGCTTTCCGTTCTTCTACAGGCTAATGCACCGTAAAGGCTGGGATGTAATCACGACACTGGACCGATGACATAAAAATAGCCCATCAAATCAAACCGTGAGGAAATGTTCCGTAAAGCAATTAGGGTTGGGCAAAGTTTTTTTTTTTTTTTTTTTTTTTTTTTAAGGTTTCGTTCACTTTTGATTTCAAAATTTAAAAAATTGAAAACCAAACCGATTTATAAACATTTTTCTTTTCTGAGGTTCGGAGTTTACATGCCCACCCATAAATACAATTTGGTATTAAGAAGAGATTTACATAAGAGAGAGAATAGTTTACTTATATACACTATAAATGTTTTTCTTAAAAAAAAAAAAAATCAAATTATGGCTTCGTCATGACTAGGAATCTCTTACTCCTCTTTTCATCTCCTTCAATCCTCTACTCTCGCATTCTTTATTTTGTCTTTCTCTTTCTATAAAAAAATTAATATAAGATGTTAATGTGGCTTAACCGTGATCGTTCAAATATGAGAGGAGGGAAGGGGAGGGAAAAAAAGAGGTAAGAGAATCATACTCCTTCGTCATGACAGTCTACTCTTTTGGAGGCCTAGAAGACTCACATAGGCATTTTAAATCTCTCCTTAACTACCATCTTTGCTAAAAAACGAATTCAAAACGTGCCGTATGAAATACATAACATATGTTTTCAGGGCTGTTGTATTTTGGGTTATTCAATATCCCACGGGTTAACCAAACGAGCCCCCATAAGTTGCCCCTCTTAAAATAATGGGCCCACTCTTGACCCAATTTGTTCTTAACCACAAACGAGGGGCCACTCACAGCAAACCGCGTGGAGAATAAAATTTGTGTGGTGCAGCGTCCTCATGTCCGCATACAAGATAACTAAAGTATAAACCCGCGACGTCGTAGGTGCTTTCTCGGTACTCTCTGGTTGTGACAAATGAAAGCTCCATGCAATACTTATCAACTTAAAAGCAGAGTTGCATTTGGACCCAAACAAAACAATAGAAGCAGAGGTGCAGTGCATGCAATGAGATTAGGTATACTTCAAGCCTTTGTAGTGCAACGGAGAAGAGGAGAGCATCGGTGAAACTCTTGGAACATTGCCAGTGCGGTAGTAAATGCGCATCTTTGTTTTAGTTTTGGAATTTAGATAGGGGTTTTTCGGGGAACTCTTATATTACTTAGCTTCATACACTGGTACACATGATTATTGATATATGTTATTTGGTGAAATTGTATGATTACTTGACAACATTATTCAAATGCTTATGAATATAAGCTTTGGTTGAAATTTTTTAGAAGTATCATTTGGTAGTTGTCTTAGAATTATCATAAGTGATAATTATGTCATGCATGGTGGAATCGTTAGGAAAGTATCAATCAAAACAAATAACTATGATCATTTCATGGTCATTTGTTTTGAGTCTGAAATTGGGTAAGTATGTGATTTATGGTAGTATATGGAACTAAAAGTAGTTGAATTCACTTTCGGGGGCACCAAGATTTATGGTGCCAACAAGAGCTTCATCAATAGAGGGCAACCACAATTCTCAAAAGCTTCACACACTCTTGATCAAGATAGTATGAGGGAAAACCAATTTATGGTGCCAACAAGAGCTTCATCAAAGGAGTTCAACCACAATTCTCAAAAAACTTCACACACTCTTGATCAAGACAGTGTGAAGCAAAACCAATTTATGTTGCCAACAAGAGCTTCATCAAAGGAGTTCAACCACAATTCTCAAAAGCTTCACACACTCTTGATCAAGACAGTGTGAAGCAAAACCAATTTATGGTGCCAACAAGAGCTTCATCAAAGGAGTTCAACCACAATTCTCAAAAATGTCACACTCTTGATAAAGACAGTGTGAAACAAAACTAATTTATGGTGCCAACAAGAGCTTCATCAATGGAGGGCAACAACAAATTCTCAAAAGCTTCACACTATCTTGATCAAGATAGTGTGAAGCAAAATCAATTCATGGTACCCAAAAAAAAGCTTCAACTCCAAAGCTTCACCTACAAAACTTTCAACACAAAAGCTTCATCAATGGAGGACAACTACAAATTCTCAAAAGCTTCACACTATCTTGATCAAGATAGTGTGAAGCAAAATCAATTCATGGTGCCCAACAAAGCTTCAACCTCAAAACTTCACCAACAAAAGCTTCATCAATGGATGACAACTACAAATTCTCAAAAGCTTCACACTATCTTGATCAAGATAGTGTGAAGCTAAATCAATTAATGATACCCAACAAAAGCTTCAACTCCAAAGCTTCAACTTCAAAGTTTCACCTACAAAAGCTTCAACACAAAAGCTTCAATACAAAAGCTTCAACACAAAAGCTTCAATACAAAAGCTTCACCAACAAAAGCTTCACCCACAAAAGTTTCAATACAAAAGCTTCACCCACAAAAGCTTGACCTACAAAAGCTTGACCCATAAAAGCTTGACCCAGCTTGACCCACAAAAGCTTCACCTAGAAAAGCTTGACCCACAAAAGTTTCACCTACAAAAGCTTGACCCACAAAGCTTCACCTACAAAGTTTCAACACAAAAGCTTCACCTACAAAAGCTTCACACTATCTTGATCAAGATAGTGTGAAGCAAAATCAATTCATGGTGCCCAACAAAACTTCAACCTCAAAGCTTCACCTACAAAGCTTCAACACCAAAGCTTCACCTACAAAGCTTTAAAATATATATATATATATATATATATATATATATATATGTATATATTTTTTTCGGAAATTCGAAAATTCAAAAATTCGAAAATTCAAAAAAAATTGAAAAAAAAATTTCCCAAAAAAAAAAAAAATTGCCTAGGCCTCCTCTTCTTTGGGCCTAACAACTTTCATAACAAATATATATGAAGGAGGAGTTTTGAGCTACCACTAAGAAAGGAAATGCCTCATTCGTCAATTCCCTCGACCGGAGACTTGGGGGACTCCTACCATATGCTATTATACCTTGATACTTAGAAGTCTCACGACCACTCAGTGACTTTGATTTTTCAAGTCTTCAACCGAGAAGTTTTCCTCACTCGGGAAATTAAGGGAGCACTACCTCAACCTACATGCTTCATTCACAAAGTTTCAGCATACAAGCTTCAACAAAAGGAAAATTCAAAGAATTTAGTGAAGAAGGCATTTATGTATTTAACACAATACGTTGAAATGAAGCAAAACTTGTTTATTGATATATCCGATAAGTTACAAATATGTACATATACATGAATCAAAATAAACAAACAAGAGGAAGCATTCACAAAGGTTGCTTAGGAGAAGTCTCAGCAGTCGGCAGAGCCCCAGAAAGAGGAGGCACCAGAGGGTGATTATTCGGAGCCTCAGTACTGGGCAAAACCCCAGAATGAGGAGGCACCAAAGGTTGATCATTTGGAGCTTCATTACACGGTACAACCCTAGAAGACGAAGGCAATAAATGCATTTGGAACAAACCCACAAACCTCTGATGATCAAGTAAAATCTGACCATCAGATTCCTGCAGCTGGTCGAGCTTCCTTTTCATGTTTGTAGCATAGTCATGTGCGAGCCTGTGCAACTGTTTATTCTCATGCTTGAGCCCTCTGATCTCCTGTTTGAGACTTATCACTTCAGCCGTCAATGATTCAATTTGGCGGGTTCGAGCAAATAGACGTTGGGCTATATTAGACACAGAACCTGCACACTGAACACTGAGAGCCAAAGAATCCTTAACAGCTAACTCATTAGACTGTTTGGAAAGTAGTCTGTTATCTTTGGGAGTGAGAATGTTTTTGGCCACCACAGCAGCAGTCATATCATTCTTCATCACAGAGTCTCAAACGGTAAGAGGACTAGTAGGGGATAAGAAGGATGGATGTCATATGTTGTCTTGAGAAGGCATAGCTGCCTCTTCACCAAAGTTCAAGTCAAAACGACGGTCGGATGGGCTAGACATTCTCAAAAATGATGAAGGAGAAATGAGGTGCAATAAATCTCTGAAGTAAGGGGAAAATTCCTACAAGCAATAAATCTCCGAATGTACTTCTTGCACACAATTGGTGCCCTTATAAAAGAAAGGGCAACATGGCCGTTGGTTCAAAAATCTAAGAGGCACCATTCTCTGGATTTCGAAGAGGCACCACTTTCCATACGCAACATCAGCTCTTCGGGTACCATAGATAACTTTGCCAAAGATCTCTGACAAATGTTAGACACATAAATTTTGAAGGTCCAGCTACCCTACTATTACCCACAAGGGTAAAGGAACAACATCATTGTTTGATAACTAGAAAGTCCCAATGTGTGTCAACCTCCGTGCTCAGTGGCAAGGCAGACTGGGAAAATGCCCAACCTTTACTCACATTCGATAAAACACTCCCACCAAGATAGCTTGCTCAAAAATCGAAGAGGCACCACTCTCTGAATCTCGAGAGCCAGACTCCCAACAGGATTACATGCTCAAAAATCGAAGAGGCACCGCCCTCCGAATCTCGAGAGCCAGACTCCCAACAGGATTGCTTTCTCAAAAATCGAAGAGACGCTGCTTTCCGAATCTCAAGAGTCAGACTCCCAACATGATTGCTTTCTAAAAAATCGAAGAGACGCTGCTCTCCGAATCTCAAGAGTCAGACTCCCAACATGATTGCTTTCTCAAAAATCGAAGAGGCACCGCTCTCCAAATCTTGAGAGCCAGACTCCCAACAGGATTACTTGCTCAAAAATCGAAGAGGCACATCGTT